TATAAGGCTTTACAACATTCCTTCTTAGCCTTCACCTTTGTTTGTACCTCCTCATTCCACCACCAAGATTCCTTTTGGTGTGGGGCAAAAGCCCTTGGACTCTCCTAATACCTCTTTTGCTACTTTTCGGATACAACTAGCCATGGAATCCCACATTTGGCTAGCTTCCCCTCTCTATCCCACACACACTGGGTGATTACTTTCTCTTTGAAAATGACTTGTTTTTTCTTCTTTTAGATTCCACCATCTAGTCCTTGGGCACTTCCAAGTCTTGTTCTTTTTTCTCACTCTTTTGATATGTACATCCATCACCAACAAGCGATGTTGATTAGCCACGCTCTCTCCTGGTATAACTTTGCAATCCTTACAAGTTATACGATCCCCTTTCCTCATTAGAAGAAAATCTATTTGTGTTTTTGACGACCCACTCTTGTAGGTGATCACATGTTCTTCTCTCTTCTTAAAGAAGGTGTTGGCTAAGAAGAGATCATATGCCATTGCAAAATCCAAGATAGCTTCCCCATCCTCGTTTCTCTCCCCAAAACCATGGCCACCATGGAAACCTCCATAGTTGCCTGTCTCCCTGCCCACGTGTCCATTTAAATCTCCTCCTATAAATAACTTCTCCGTCTGAGCAATTCCTTGCACCAAGTCTCCAAGGTCTTCCCAAAATTTCTCCTTCGAACTCTTATCCAACCCTACTTGAGGTGCGTACGCACTAATCACATTGATAAGTTCTTGTCCTATTTATAATCATTATAACATTTTAAAATTGTTGATGCACAAAATCAGTGAGGACTTTGGTACAACAGAAAGTGTTAAGTTTGTGACCTTCGCTAGATTGCTCCGGTCACTAGTGTGGATAAGTATGTAAATGGATAGAGACAGGGAAGCAAACACAAGATGTATATGGTTAATCCAGATTGGCTACGTCCACGGAGTAGAGGAGTTTTCATTAATTGTGAAGAGTTTACATAAGTACATAGATTCAAACTCTCATTTAGTGAGTACAAGTGAATGATTTAGCACAAATAACATTAGGAAATATTGTGAGAGAATGATCTCCTTTTATAGAAGAGAGTTTCTAGCTTTGTTTTAACATTGACACGTGTCGTGTTGTGATTGGCTTCTGATGTCGACACGTGTCGCGCTTTGATTGGCTTCTGATGTCGACACGTGTCGCGCTGTGATTGGCATCTTGGTTGGAGGGAAACTCTTCTGGGTCTTTGACTGTATAACGTTGACCGGTGCTCAGTAGTTTCGGGATTGGTCAAGTATGGTACAAACAGTGCTCCTCTAAGTTCCCGAGTGAGGGAAGCTCCTGGGTTGGGGACTTGCAAGATCCAAGCCGCTGAGTAATCACGAAACTTCTAAGTATCGAAGTGTGGTATCGTCTTCATTTGCCTTATCTGTCTCATAAGTAGATGTGGCATCTTCTTTGGAAGTACTTTTCCTCCATCCAGGGGTGGTATCTTTAACCAGTGGAGATGCACAAGGTAATGTATCAATTTGACTTGAAGCTTACTTGTAGTTTCATGCTTAGTCAAGTGCGATACAAACCATGTAGTAGGAGTCCTCCAAGTCGCCGAGCTAGGAGATTTGCAGAAAGAGGTGACAAACAAGGTAAGCAATCAGAGTTCCAAGCAATCAGTCCCAGATTAGAAGTTTGATTTCGAGTTCCGGCTGATTATTCTCATTATCCCTATCTTGCAAGCAGCAAGAAGGATAAAGAGAAGAAAAATGAGAAGAGATGATATGAGATACTTTTGCTTTGAAGAAGTAACTTTCCACATGCTTATTCTTGAACTGGGCTGAATGGTTTTCTGGTTTCCTCCAGAGTATAAGGCCGACTCAAGAATTTGAGAGTCAAAACAAGTCCGACAAATCTAGAGTACGTTCGACCCTGATGATATGGATACTTTTGCTGTTGACAAAGTAGATGTATCAGCACGTGTTTTGTTACGCTTGTCTCCACATGCTTCCTTGTATCTTTCTCACTTGCCATATCTGTTCCTCAGGCATATGTGGTATCTTCTTTGGAAGCATAAGATGTTGAAGATGAGTACTCGAGGGCAATGCCAGGTAAGTAATCAGGCAAGGGGTTCCAGGCAGTTAGTTCCTGACTGGAAGCTTGATTCCAAGTGTTGACTGATTGCTCTATTTCTCCTTGTCTTGCAGGTAAGAACAAGGCCAAAGGAAAAGACAAGGAAAAAGCATGATATGGGATACTCTTGCTTTTAACCCCAATGATATGAGATACTCTTGCTCTGGTGTGGCTTATTTGCAGAGGTATTATTGGGGGGAAAAGAAGCTGAGTATTTCGAGAGACTCTGCTTAGAGTGCCCTCTCGGATGTGAAGAAAAATTGAGCATTTTTTTTATTTGCAGGTCTGCCTGGCCGTGGAGGATGAAGGTCGACATATATAGGAATTGTCCCAAAAACGAGTGGTAATGTTGTTCCTTTACCCTTCTCGGTCATAGCAATGTAATGGGAGCTGCAAGATTCACGTGTTTTAACTTTGTCAGAACATTTTGAAAAAGTGGTTTGTGGTATCTGGAAAGCTGATATTGCGTGTGAAAATTGCAGACAAGCTTTATCCAAGGAATGAATTATGCCTTGGACCTTGGTTATAAAATTAGACACAATGATTCTTGCATTTCCCGTTCCACCGACCTTGCATATGGCCACGTTTCACGAGAGGATATGGTATTCACTTCAAAGGAAACATCATTCACTTCTGGGAATGATGCCGATTCAGTAGGTCGGGACTGATGATTTTTTATCAGGAGCTCATTGTTTTGTTCAGCCACAAGGATTACCGATATCAGGTGCTTGTATTCAATAAAGCATCTCTCTCTATACTGTTGTTGTAGAAGCACATTGAAGGCATGAAAGGTGCTGAAAGTCTTTTCCAACATATATTCCTCAATGATGGTTTCCCTACAAAGCTTCATCTAGAAGCTAATTCTGAACATTGCAGAGTTGTACTCTGCAACTGACTTCCTTAGGTGTGCCCACTCATAACGAGCCCTTGGAAGAATCATTGTTTTACGATGATTGTATATATTTCTCAATGTCTTCCAAAGGGCTAATGGATCTTCAACCATTAAGTACTCACTATTCAGTCATTCATTAAGGTGGCGACAGATAAAGATCATGGCATTTGCCCGAACTTGAGAGAATGCACTATTTTCCTCCTTGATAGTTTCTCCAAGATTCCCTGCCTCCAGATGGATCTTGGTATCCACTACCCAGGTATGGTAGTTCTTCCCAGTAATATCCAAGGCAGCAAAATTAAGCTTGGCCAAGTTCGCCATTTTCTTTTATGAAAGAAAAATGAGGTGTAAGGACTTGCAATAATATGTATTTTGAAGGAATGTAGCATTAGAACTTCTGATTCTTACACATTTTTCATTTTGATCTTCAGGTCAAAATGATAAGCACTCGAAACTTCAGGCTCGAGAGTTACATGATTACTGAGGAGGGCAATTGTACTGCACCACTCTCATTGAGACAATATAGCATAGGGTAGGCGATTATACTGTACCACTCAAGCCGTAGGAATATTTAAATATGCAGAGCAGGGTGGGCGATTATACCGCACCACCTAAAATTGCAGTACAATTAAATTTGCAATTCAAGATGGGCGATTGTACCGCACCATCTTTGATTGCAGTAAAATTAACATAAATAAACATTGGGTTAGTAGTTAGGAGCTACACCAAACAAGAAATAAAAAATATAAGTAATTGTTATATTGAGAACTAAGAGCAAACATGGTGCTAGCAGATCTTGGCGAGGGTACATCAAGCAGGTGAGGCATAGGAGGAAGAAGAACAGTAAAATCCTTCGAGGAAGTATTTTTCGGCGAAGGGAGATGATAATTGGTTAAGGTTAGAGAGTCGTGCTAATAACGTGTTATAAATAGGCAAAAGTTAGAGAGATAACCTTTGCTAAGGACATGAGAGAAACGGGTGCAAAATATCACACTGTTTAGTTTCGTAACCATAACACAAACGATTGCAGGAAAAAGAGGAAATGATGGATACTTATATTATTGCTTTCATTTCTTTTCTTTGTTGTGTATTGTAATCACACACAGAGTACTCTTTATATAAAGCCACATTCGTGACAAACTAAAAAGTGAAATGATTGCTCTTTTTGAAAACTTCACACAACAACAATTACTCTATTATTGCTCTTTTGAAAACATCACATAACAATAATTATACTAAGGTGGGCATTCATTCTCACAATTTTACAACACTTTTTAGGTTTTCAATAATTAACTTTCATTTTCATTTTCAATTTTCAGTTTTTATTTTCAAAGTGAAAACAAAATGGTTATCAAACCACGTGCTAATTTTCTTTAGGCTATGTTTGGGTAAGAGTTTGGGTAAGAGGTTTTCAAGTCCAAGTGACTGAGACCAGGTTATTAAAAGTTTGACTACAAATGTGAAAGGGATTTGCAACCCCTCCTTAGAATGTGTCATTTGCAAATTCATCTCACATGCCTTTGTTTAACCCATGGAATGCATTCCTAATCCCCTCTATCTTTTATTTTTTGTCCATCTAGTGTAGAATATTGATTGTGCTCAAAATATATTTTGTAGTCCATTTCTTAATAAGCTTGGCCTCAATCATTTTGGAACTTGGAACTCTCCTACCTAACCATCATTATCTTGTGTCTTACTTTTTTTTAACATTGAAACCGAGGTGATTACCAAATAACCCTTAATTAAATTGTGGCGGCGACAATAGTGGTGAGAGGTGGTGGGATGATGGTGGTGGCGTGTGATGTGGTGGCCATGGTGGAGATGGTGAGGCGAGAATGTCACGATGATAGTAGTGGTGGAAGGTGGTATTGGAATTTTTAACTTTGTTTTATACGTGACTTTTGTTTTTTTAATTTTTTTTGGAAATCATTCTTGAAAAATAAAGAACGTTCAGTATCATGTTTTACATAATTTATCCTAAATATTGTACTTCTTGCTTTTTTATTTTTTAAATTTGTTCTTGAAAAACAACATACATAATACATTTTAGGGTCGTTTTTGTATTTAAAAACAAAAAACTATTTTTGCACCCTTACTTTTTCAAGATAAATATATCAAGTACTAAATCTGATCTGCCAATTGAACAAAAATCAACATACTAAACCCTATGTAAAGATATTGATTGAGACGGGGAATTGTAATTACATTAATTGGGAAGATATCCTTCGCTCGTGAAAAAAGAACTCAAGATCAATTCTCATGTTCATAATCCATACCAAGTAGTAAATCTGATTTGCCAATTGTACCCATGTCAATTAACATTGTATTGTTTTCGAGGGTCAATCTCCCATGCATCATGCATGCCATTCCAGATTGCCAGATTGTATATAAAAATAATCAAACTCCTTTCAGTACTTAAATTTTTGCCATCTTTTGTTATGAACTTATGATCCATACGAAACAGCTTGACCAAGGCTTGGCAGGTCCGACCTTCCGTAATTTTTCTTTTCTTTCCTTCTTTCTTTTATATGGTTTTATTCTTGAAAATGAAAACGAGGATTACTCAGAAGTAATTGCTGATTCAAGAATGAATTGGCGGTGTTAGTGAAACTGCAATTGGAATTTACGTCTTTCTTCGATGGATATAATAACATGCCACGATCATCTGTGATGGAATGCTGGCGCTTTAGCCGGTTTTCCGTGTTTGGGGCTGATGATGGCAAGTTCAAACAGTTGTACTGAGGGAGAGTTTGAAACAAATGACTTCTGTTACTGCTGATATTGGTATTGAACAGCGGTTGCGGGTCTAATCCAGTACTAGTACTCCCTGTACAGCTATAACTAAACTTATTAGGAGTAGTTGATTGAAGTCCAGTTCCAGTTGGGATATAGTACTGGCCATCCGCCAGAATACTAGTGAGTAATGAGTAGTCCATGGCGTCTAGTAAGTTGGAGAAGGAACAAGATTTCTGAGGCTTGAGACTGCTCGTAGTACTAGTACTCATCATGTTGTGATCAAGGCTGGGAAAGGGACTTTTCAAGCTTGGTAAAAGGATATCGTGGAGGAAATCTTCTTCTCCTTGAACGTCTTGGTCTTGATCATTTGGCAGTGCCGCTGCTGAGGTCACGACATTCGACTTCTTGTAGATTCGACAAAGAACCCAATCATCCAACTGGGGTCACAAAATAAAGTTCATATATTTATAGTTAATGATTGAAGTATATATGTGGATGATTATTTAATTGAACAATTGATTCTGTAAATCAAATGCTCATAAGATCCAATAAAACTGCTCACCCTCATGGATAAATCATTGAGCTTCACGGCTCTGTGGTGGTTGGTGGTGGTGGTGTAGTTATTTGGGCTTTCTGGAAGGCGGTATTCATGCATGATCCAGTTGGTCTTGATTCCCTTGGGGGGTCTCCCCTTGTAGAACACAAGAGCCTTCTTCACACCAACATTCTGCCGCCCTCCTGATGGTGCCACAATCGTCTTATCTGTTCCAGTTGCCTTCCAATACCCTGATGCGGCAGCCCTGTTTGGCCTCGCACCATTCGGATACTTGCGATCTCTTGGACTGAAGAAGTACCATTCTTTCTCACCAAACGCAGCTTTGGCTAATTAATGGTCGACATCAGCATGCATGAAAGAACACCGAATTAGCCATATATTAATTAATCAGCTGATAAACTTAGCGTGCATATACCATAGAGGCACGCATGTGTGATATGTACAGGAAACAAACAGTTGAATCAATTAATTTATAGTTAAGGAAATTAGGTAGGTGCCGTACCTGGCAATTCCCATGGATCAAACTTGTAGATATCAACTTCAGCGATGATGGAAACAGGTAAGGGAGTGGAGGCCACCTTCTTTATAAGGTAGTGAAGGATGAGCTCTTCATCTGTAGGGTGAAACCTAAATCCTGGTGGCAGCCTAGATTCTGGGTTTTTCATCCTCAATCAACCAAATATTTCCTTGCTAGCAACAAACCTAGCAACCTAAATTGAACCAAATATTGATGAAGAAAGATGCTAGGAATGAAAGCATGTACATGAAAGAAATTAAGAGTTGGAGGAGGAGAGCTTGTGTTATCAGTTGTCGCAAAATGAACGAACCAGCGAACAACCAAACTGTAAATTAAACAAAGGGAAGAAGAGTTTGAAATTTTATTGGGAGAGAACGAAAGGAAGGGCTTTTATGGTTGTGGGAATTTGTCGGCATGCGGAAAAGAGAGATTAGGCAAATAGGTTGGGATGAACCAGATGATGTTGATGAAGAGAGAAAAAACAAATCATCAGTTACATTTTCCGCGGAAACAAATATAATATATATGGCTGAGAGAGACTAATTACATGCACGGGATAAGACTTTAGGTGATAATGTCTTAAATTTATTATATATTTTTGTGTGTTTTAATTTACTCACATGACATGACGTGATTGATTGAAGATATCGTTACTCGCGCATGTGTATGCCGTATGTAAGAGTGCCAGCTGAAAGGGTTTCGGTGTATGGCCTAATGGAATGCAATTATTGGTTTTGTCCTTCCCAAGTTTTCTGAGAGCTAAGTTATGCTTTCACGTAATTAACAGGGAAGGAAGAGGGAGAAAGACTCGGGGGCTGAGGAGGGAGGAGGAGAGAGAGATGAGATAATAACGTATGGGGAATGGAATAAAGAAGAAGATGCATGGCGGCTGGACAAAGGTCCAAGGATAGTCTCAATATAACGACATCATCCCCCTCTTCTGCAAATAGATTCGTAACACACGTCCTTCCATGTTTGGACGAGCTCTCCCCCACTACCAAAGACCAATTAATTCCTACAGTCCACATAGAAAGCAGAAGCAAAAGCTCTTGTGACCTGTCCAGAGGTATCAATCATCTCCATCCTGTGCCGTAATAATGCATCTCACTTTGACTTTATTCTTTTTTTACTTTTTATAATGTTTCGGTTGCTTTAAATTAGAAGGGAAATGTGTTCCTTCCGTGTCCTTTTCACCTAATCAATCAATGCCCAAAATTCAGATTTTTGAAATTTAATCTAACAGTTAAAATTATTATAAATTTAAAAATACATCTCTATTTATAGTCGTTAGATCAAATTTCAAAGATCCGAATTTGTGACCTTAGTGAATTAGGTGGAAGGGATCCTCCGGAGAGGATCCCTTTCTAATTAGAAGTGGGTTCGATTTTCATTCGGTTCAGTTTTTTTTATCAAAATTAAAAATCAAACTGAGATTATTGTTTATTTGGTTGGGAGTGTTTTTCAGTTATCTGAAAGGGTTAGGTTCTTGTTTTTAAAATTTAATTGGACCTGAAGTTGCGGTTATATTCAATTAGGCTACTTGATTCGGTTTGATTTAACTTCTATTTTTTTTAAGAACTTCTAAACTTCTAAACCCTTAAATTTTATAGGGTAAAGTACAAAAAACTACCTCAACTATTGGTGTCACGACACTTTTATACCCCATCTTTTAAAATTGACAATGTTATACCTCATCTTTAGAATTTGGTCCAATGTTATACCTTCCGTTACATGACCGTTTACTTTTCAGTTAAATACTGACGTGGCTTGATTCAGAGCTCATTTTCTATTAAAATATTATTAAAACTAAAAAAAAAAAAAATTAATATTTTTTAAAATAATAAAGAAAAGTAAAAAAAATCCCTTTGTTCGTCCCTTCCCCCTCTCTCTCCCCATCTTCGTCTTCTTCCTTGCTTAAAAAAAAATTTGAAAACCCATCAACCCCCCAACCCACCCCCCCCCCCGAAGAAGAAGATGAGGAAAAAAAAATGCAACCCAACCCCCTAAAAAAAAATTTGAAAACCCATCAACCACCCAACCACCCCCCCCCGGAGAAGAAGATGAGGAAAAAAAAATGCAACCCAACCCCCTACAACCCAGAAAGAAGGAGGAAGAAGAAGAAAAAAAAAAACAGCGACGGCGTCCTTTCCCGGTCGGAGCTCTGCAAAGCCTTCAAGTCCCTCAGGCTCATCGAGGCCCACTTCGGCATCGATGTGGCCACCCCGCGAGAGCAGCTGACGCGACTGTACGACTCCATATTCGACAAGTTCGACAGCAACCAGAGTGGGACGGTGGATCTGGAAGAGTTCAGGGAGGAGATGAAGAAGATTATGCTAGCCATCGCTGACGAGCTGGGCTCCTCCCCCATCCAGATGGTTCTGGAGGACGACGACCAGAAAGAAGAATAAGGAGAAGAAAAAGAAAAAGAAAAAAAATCCAAAGCAAACCCAGTTCGTCCCCCCCCCCCCAACCTAACCCCTCCCAACCCCAAATCCACCACTCTCATCCATTCTCCACATCCTCTTTTGCACCCATCCTCCACCTTCTCCGCGCACCCATCTTCTCGCCGACGGGATCTGGTTTTTTTCTTTTTTTTTTCTTTTTTCTGGGTTGCAGGAGGGGAAAACTGTGTTGGGGGGGGGGGACAAACTGAGGGTTGGTGCAAGGGAAGACAAATTGGAATTTTTTTTTTGTTGGGGGTTGCAGGTGGGGGGGGGGAAGAAGATGAAGATGGGGAGAAGAGAGAGGAGGGGGGGAGGGGAGGGACGAACTGAGGGTTGTTTTTTTTTAGTTTTTAATAATATTTTAATGATTTTTAATAGAAAGTGGGCTTTGAATGAAGCCACGTCAACATTTAACTAAAAAGTAAACGGCCAAGTAACGAAAGGTATAACATTGGACCAAATTCTAAAGATGAGGTATGACATTGTCAATTTTAAAAGATGAGATGTAAAAATATCGTGACACCAATAGTTGAGGTAGTTTTTTGTACTTCACCTAATTTTATATGATTCGATTCGGTTTGGTTTCTAAACTTCTAAAACCGAAAATGAACCAATATCTTTTGATTTGGTTCAATTTCTTCATATTCGGTATGATTTTTTTCGATTTTATAGACGATTCAATTTTTTTATTTTTTATTTTTATTTATTTTTCTCTCAAGCCACCCCTACCTTAAACCTCTTCACAAAACCATTCCTATATCATATCTATGGCCATCCCTATCAGCTATCACCTTCTCTCTCTGTTTGCATGCGTGTGCCTGCCGTGAGTTTGAACTGAGCCTAGGAATAGAAGTGCTTTGGAAGGCATTAAAAAAATGGGATGAAAAACAATAAAAATACTAACCTATATTTATCTAAGGGTACTATGATTAACCCTTCAAAATTTTAATTGTGCACTTTTCATTAAAAGAATTTTTTTTTAATATAAAAAGTTTAGAATGCATAATGAAATTTTTAGAGTACTAATAACAATTATCTTATCTTAATAGAAACTATTATTTGTCGTTTTAAAATATAAATTTGAAATATCATGGTAATTTAAATTAATAATAAGTCAATGATCATAATTTTTCTTCAAAATCAAATGGTAATAAGTTATCGTGCTTAACTATTTTTATTTTTTTTTATACAACAATATAGTTACACTAAAGGGATGGGGAAATAACTTGGTTGCAAATCGCCATTATCAAGATTGGAACCTAAAATTTTTTATTTACAAGTAACGAGAAATATCATTAAACCGTAGAACTAAGCGGTCATAACCATTTTGATTTTTGTTTTTTGTTTTTACTTTTATGCTTGAGATATGGAGAAAGTTGTGGGAAACAAACCTCACACAAACATAGAATAAATCTGGTGTCCATGCAACCAAGAATGAAAAGACAGTTCAGACATTGTCGCTCCAGTGTGGTGTGAGCCAAGAGACCCTCTGATGCCTAAGTTAGACTTAATCGTAGGAAAAATGGATCTCAAGCTATTATGAGCTTTTTGGGTTACATATCATTGTGCGTATGCATGCCTTTATCGAATGCGGGACATGGGCTTGAAGAGAGCACAAATGGTGCTACCTAAGTTGTTGCTTTGAACCCACGTTATCCCGCTTATTTAGCCAACATGGGTTGACCATGGGAAACGTGAGAGGGGCACCAATTAAGAGTCTCGTACAGGGATGATCCTTGACAAGATCAATGACCATGATCTATGTCTAGTCCATATGACTATAGGGATCATAATATCTTGAAGATCTTAGGATGTTGTCTTGTCCACTCAGCTCAACTCTATTAAGTAGGGTGGCCCAGCACATTTTTTTACGTGAGTCCATCTCGTGAGGAGTGGTGCACACGCTGGTATGGCAGAGGTGTCATTTTTATCTGGCATGATTTACAGGGAAACATCCCTCTTATATATTTAATGCTCAATCACACGAGGGTTAAGCGTTGGCGAAACTCTAAGGGTAATTACATCATATCTACTATGGTACACATGATATCCCCTCTAGGGCTGGTGAAATTTTGTTTACTACAAAAGTATATGAACACCAATTGTATGATAGGATTAAAGTTATCCAGTTTAATCTAATGGTAGGTAGTAATCCTATCCAATCCAACGTACTAAACTAGATTAAGAAATGAAACCTACAATTTTTAACATGTGGTTGAAACCCAGCCCTAGCAAACTTATAAAAGATGCTGCTTTAATTGTAAGCAACCAATCATGTAGTTTGAGGTTTGGAGCTCGGATTTTGGAATACCCAGTTGTATTCTTAAAATGCTTTCACACAACACACACACACACTTCACGAGGAGTAGTAGCATAGTGAAAAAAAAAAATTGATGGTCAAGCAGGTAGTAAGTAAGACTTGGAGTTGGATGTGTTTATTTTCTATGGTTTAGGTGGATTGAATCAACGCTATCATATCATGCCAGCTAGCATTCACATCCGCCCTAATTACTGATTGGAGAGCTTGATTTATTTTCATATTGAAGACTTTGAACATGATTAATGTGTCAAGCTAAGCAAAGCATTCACTCATGCGTGTGCAATAGATGCATTATAAGTCAAAATAAGTTATGTTGAAATGACCATTGTTACAATTGGAATATCTCAAACTCATCAAAACGTGTATCTATGATCATTTTCATCAACTTCATCAGAATGAGTTATGTTGGAAGGATCATTGCTACAATTGAATTAAAGTTTGAGGGACCATTGCTCCAATTTAGTTAAAATTGAGAGACAATTTCTCCGGTTGGATTAAAGTTGAGGGACCAATGGTAATTGATTTTTAATTGAGGAACCATAGCTGCACGTTTTGATGAGTTGAGGGACCAATAATAA